CTCTTTCCTCTTATTGCCTCCTTTTGTTTCCACCTTGAGCCCTTCAAGAATTCAAGGTCATGTCTGCTTTTCTCTTTTCGGGTGGGCAGGCCATATGATTCCCCCCTTACTGCCTTTCAATAGGGCATTTTTTTTGTCATGGGAAGTTTCTTGGCTTCACTTTAAAGCTTTGTTTGGCCAAGTAACATCTATGCCTACTTAGAATTCTAAGTACAAGTAACAATTCTTGTGTAATTGTACCAGTGTGCCAGGTAATTGGGCTACTTAATGAGAGTGATGTGATTAGTAACTCAAAGACAGTTTATTTTAAGAAAGTAGATCAGGTAAATCCAATTATCTATCTGTGGAATTCAAATCCAGCCCCATTTTATCTTCCCCATTCTTACACTGAGTTTTGATTTTGCTATTGAGTGTGACTCAGCTGAGGGCAGCCTAGATACGGATGCCCGTTGGTATTTGCCAGTCTTCTTGGGATCCAGATACTGCCAATTATTTGGGCCTGTAATTTTGTTGTTCTTCCTTTCAAAGTTAAGGCTTACTCTAAGACACTTAGTTCTCCTATCTTCATTTTAAAGCTTTCTCTTAAAGTGTCTTAATTTATAAAATTATGAAATCTGTAACTCTCATTTCTCATCATGTCCAAAAATAGTATGGTCCCCATTGCTGAGAGGGGTGCTTTTTTTTTTTTTTTTTTTTACATCTGCGTTTTTCCTTACTGTGACTACTGTGACCATAGGAAATGTACCTTCTCCGAATGCACCATTAAAGCGGGTCTTAGCCTATACAGGCTGTTTTAGTCGAATGCAGACCATCAAGGAAATTCATGAATATCTATCTCAGAGGCTGCGCATCAAAGAGGAAGATATGCGCCTGTGGCTATACAACAGTGAGGTAAGAGACATGTTGGAGTCAAGGAAAGTCCTGATTAAGTGTTAAATCCATGTTTCATTAAGTATGGGTTATTTTTATCTACACTAACTGTTCTGAAAGCCATGTCTCGGAATCGCAGTGGAAACTTCAACTTTTAAATTACTGGATGCATACATGTAGATATTTGTCATCTGAAACCCATAATAACAGTCATGGACAGTACCAATTTGTAAAGATTATTATTACAAAGTAACAGCAAATATCTTTTTTTAAATTAATTAATTTATTTATTTATTTTATTTTATTTATTATTTATTTTTTTTTCTTTTTGTGGTACGTGGGCCTCTCACTGTTGGGGCCTCTCCCGTTGCGGAGCACAGGCTCCGGACGCGCAGGCTCAGTAATTGTGGCTCATGGGCCCAGTTGCTCTGCGGCATGTGGGATCTTCCCAGACCAGGGCTCGAACCTGTGTCGCCTGCATTGGCAGGCAGACTCTCAACCACTGCGCCACCAGGGAAGCCCCAAATATCATTTTTTAACAGTTTATTTTTGATTTGTCTTAAAGTAACTTATATACATGTTAAAAAAATTCAAACAGTACAAAAGTATGTACTGAAAATTCTTCCTTTCCATCCTCTGACCCCTATCTTCCATTCTCCTCAGAGGCAGTGCTGTTAATTGCTTATATATTCTTCCTAACACATGCAATATATTTCCATTAATACTCTGAAATTGGATCATAAGTAGTTTTAACCAGTTCTTTATTCCCTAGTTCCTTCTTTCTTACATCCTCCTTTGGTCACCATTGAGAGGTGACCAATTGTATAATAAGTTAAGAGCAGAGGTCCTGGAGCCACACTGCCATGGATTAAATCTTGGCCCTCACATCTGTTAGGTGAATAACCAAGGGCAAGTCCCTTGACTCTCTGTCTCAGTTTTCTCATGAGTAAATGGGGAAAATAATAGTATTTCCCTTAGGATAGTTGTAAGAATTAAATGAATTAATTTTCTGAGCACTTTAGACAGGGTGAGCATCAACAAAAATGTATAATTCTATTGCATGACATTTGGTTTTACATTTTCAGTTCCTAGTAAATAATCAAGTTCCATCTTGACCACAAGCACATTTACTGAATTTCATACTAGATACTAAAAAAACTTCTTTTCTATAAGCTGTTCAGAAAATCTAAATCTCAATGAATTTTGGTTTGATGTGTGAAGAGTCTTTTCTGGTCTCCCCCAAATCCTATATAACTTTTTTAGAGACATAAAGTATGTGTTTATAAAGTATACATTGTCTTTCCCTCATTTTGCCACCAAAATTATAAGCATTTCGGAATAACTATAATATGCTAAATATCTGTCACAAGTTATGTAACTACAAGGATGTTTTTAATTGTCATTCATTTTTATTTCCATATTTGTTTCAAGTTTAGTAATTAAATTAACAAAACATTTCTTCCTCCATATACAGAATTACCTCACTCTTCTGGATGATGAGGATCATAGATTGGAATATTTGAAAATCCAGGATGAGCAGCACTTGGTAATTGAAGGTACAAGATGGAAGCATGCATTTGTATTAGATTTTTAGGGGAAGAATTTAAAGATTGAATTACTCACTGATAATTGATTTTATAGTTTTTCCAACTGGTATTTGATTACTATATTCTATATAGTAAAGAAAACCCATTAGACCCTTATGTAATCCTACTATAATGTAATACTATTTATACTGCTTTAAGAGAAAAACATGTCTACATTCATTGGCTGGAAAGGGTGGAAACAGTGGGTAAAAACAAGTGAATTCAGTTATAAGTTTAGAGCTCCTTAAAATTTTCAAGCTGCCTCTTTGTCAGGAGACTTTCTTGCAACAGTTAGTGGTGCAGGCTTTTCATTAGTCAACACTAGTCATTCACCAACATAAGCATAGATTTACACACTGGCATGCACACATCATTGAAAACTTAGTGTGTCTTTTCTCATCAAGATTCATGAAACATTCCTAGCTGCCTTTGTATTAAAATGAATAGATTACTCTGGCAGTTGTCACAATTTAAGAAAGCATTGTAATAGTTCCAATGTATTAAGTTTAAGAACTTTAATTCCTTTTATAGATGGCTGAGTATAATTTTACTTGAGGTATGTAATTTAGAGATTAGCTTACTAATTAATTCTAACCAATAAAGTCTCCAGTGTAAAGAATTGGAATGGTTTCAGAGGCAATTACTAAAATTAACTTGATTTTTTTTTTCAGTTTCTGATTTAGAAATAAGAACTTTTTTTTTTAACAGAAGCAATTTAGTGGGTGTGATTTGAATAGATAAGAAATTAACACATTGCTGTCTCTGTTTTTCCAGTTCGCAACAAAGATATGAGTTGGCCTGAAGAAATGTCCTTTATAGCAAACAGTAGTAAAATAGATAGACACAAGGGTAAGTCTACACTGTATTATTTTTAAACAATCTTAAAATTATTCTTTTATTTTTCCTTCTCTCAACTATTGAAGTGTTAACAACTTGTAGCTTTCTAGCTCAAAAGCGATTAGGCCCCCTCTTATTTTTCTTTTTCCTGAAGCATCAAATTTCTTTCTAACCATGCAATTAAATAATTTATATATTTTGAAAGACATAATTCTAGGAGAGAATTGTTTGAACTCTAAAAAATGATCATAACAATTAAAGAGAATTACTGCTGCTTCTAGATTACAAATGAGCATAGATTATCATGATTGCCGATGATGCTCCATTAAAATGCCTCTACTTAGCATTGCAAGACCCAATAGAGAAATATTAACCCCATTTAATTGATTAGAAGAGTTATAAAAATCATTGCATTGAATACAAATAACTGTTTGGTCATGACATCTTGCTACAGCTAGGCTTCCGTTCTCGTGTTGTTTGTTCCAGTTCCGACAGAAAAGGGGGCCACAGGTCTGAGTAACCTGGGAAACACATGCTTCATGAACTCAAGCATCCAGTGTGTTAGTAACACACAGCCACTGACACAGTATTTTATCTCAGGGAGACATCTTTATGAACTCAACAGGTAATCTTCCTTGAGTCATTGGCTCTTAACTTTTATAACTTTGCTATGAACGCAATATTACCTAAATCTCCTCTTTCTTCACCCTGGGGGAGCAAAGTCTTAATCTTATTTGCCCTATTAAGCGTGAAATAAGGACCAAATGCTACTTCTCTTATTTTGAAAAGATATTTTGATGTGAGGAAACAGACTCTAGGCATTTCTGTGTTCACATGATTGTGATTTATAAGAATCTTTGGCAACGAATTTTCCTCTCAAACTTCTAGGACAAATCCCATTGGTATGAAGGGGCATATGGCTAAATGCTATGGGGATTTAGTACAGGAACTTTGGAGTGGAACTCAGAAGAATGTTGCTCCATTAAAGCTTCGGGTAAGCACGTTAAAATAATATAAAGGTATTTAAGTCCTAAGCAGTTATTTAAGTAATTATTTTCCTCTACATGTTATTTATATTTAGCTTTTTAGTTTTAGTGTAATGTTTTTGGGTCCTTCACAAGGCGTAAACTGGATGTCAGATACTTTTACTTCTTCACATATATGCAAAATACTACTATAGACATACTGGGTAGAAAAAGATCAAAAGTATAGTCTAAATTTGGGATGTCATTCATTTTACTAATTTATCAGGTATCTTACTTGTATATACAGTAAGCCTTTCTTTCTTGATCCTTCACTATTAGCAGTATTCTAACTGCAAGGTAGACCTGAGTCTAATTAATGATACTCAATACATTTTTAACATTACTAAGATACTTAGTTCTATCTGTAGAGTTTTAAAAATTAGCAGAAAGAAAGAATGTAATTTAATGGATACAAATTTGACATTAATATCATATGCAGTGAATTCTAGTTGATGTTAGGATTACCAGCCACTGTAATAATTATGTATTAACTCATTTAATCTTCTAAATGGCCCTACAGTATAAAGCAACATTATTATCCGCATTTTATGGCTCAGGAAACTAAGACTCATAGCAGTCAAATAGCTTGTCCAAGGTTGCAAGCTAGTTACTAAGTCCTCACAGTTGAACATGAGGCTATTCTGCCTCTAATAATAAAAGTTAGGATACAACAAGACCAGAAAAGCTAACTGTAAAAAAAACATTATAAAAGGGAAGCTTCCAATGTGAGCAAATGCTATTTTTATATTTCCATCTTGTATCTTAAGTAGCTATGTACCTAAAGAACTGTTTGCTTATATGATGCTAAACCAGGACATAGGATTGGCCATAATACTATTTTGGGGCTGGGGGAGGGAGCATCATTTGAGATTAAGATTAGAAAGATTTCATGATTATCCAAAATATATTTGCTGAAATAGAGACAGACTAAATACTGTACTATGTATCTTCTTCTAATGCCTCTGATAGAATTATGGGCATGTTCATTCTAAACTTTATGAGATAGCAAATAATGAGTTTGATTCCTCTTATATTTATAGTGGACCATAGCAAAATATGCTCCCAGGTTTAATGGGTTCCAGCAACAAGACTCCCAAGAACTGCTGGCTTTTCTCTTGGATGGTCTTCATGAAGATCTCAACCGAGTCCATGAGAAGCCATATGTGGAACTAAAGGACAGTGATGGCCGACCAGACTGGGAAGTAGCTGCAGAGGTTTGTCGGTTTTGAGTTTCTAATGTAGGCAATAGATAAAATATTCTGACCACAAATACGTGTTGGACAACTTAATGCTAGCTAAACTATTCTGCGGTCAGAATTTTACTGAGAAAATGAAGGAACTTATATTTCTCTGCCTATTTCTTGTGCAATAATCCTAAAACAAAGCATCTTTAATGAAAATAGAAAAATGTTTCCTCTTCAATGTAAATTTGGGGGAGAGGATGTAGGAATAATCATTCAGTAGAAATTTAGGAGTCCCCATAATTGCTAAAGTAATGTGTACAGTGACCAATAGGCATATTTTATCCGCTTTTTAATGGACAAAGAACTCATCATTGTTACCATGGTAAGAAGAAAGAAAAAAATAGGGTTTTCCATCTGAATTTAATACGTTATAGATTGAGCAGAAAGAATCACATTCTATTCTGGACCGCCAGGGAAGTCCCGATGGTGGTATTTTTTTTTTTTTTTTTTTTTTTTTTTTTTTTTTTTTTTTTTTTTTTTTTTTTTTTTTTTTTTTTTTTTTTTTTTTTTTTTTTTTGGTAGTATGCGGGCCTCTCCCTGTTGTGGCCGCTCCCGTGGCGGAGCACAGGCTCCGGACGCACAGGCTCAGCGGCCCCGGCTCATGGGCCCAGCTGCGCCGCAGCAGGTGGGATCTTCCCGGACCGGGGCACGAACCCGTGTCCCCTGCATTGGCAGGCGGGCTCTCAACCACTGCGCCACCAGGGAAGCCCCGATGGTGGTATTTTTAAAGAAGGGAAATACGTAAGCCCAAAGCTGCCTATACGGAGTGATCTGGCTATGTCACTACAGTCTAGATTTACCCCAGTGAGTGCTGCTGCTACACTTGGCAGCTCTTCTGTGTTACCACTGTTGCCAGAATTCTTGAAGTATTTTATGTATTTCTCTACTATCTCAGTAGACAATATATTTTAAATTACATATCTGACTTGTAAATTTGTAGGCATAAAGCTTTTATTTTTTAAGGATTATATTCTTGACATTTAGATCTCATATATTTAACCATTTTCTTTGAATTTGGGGAGATAAAAAATTTCTCTAATCATTTTTCTTGCTAGGCCTGGGACAACCATCTGAGGAGAAATAGATCAATAGTTGTGGATTTGTTCCATGGGCAGCTAAGGTCCCAAGTCAAATGCAAGACATGTGGGCATATAAGTGTCCGATTTGACCCTTTCAATTTTTTGTCTTTGCCACTACCGATGGACAGTTATATGCACTTAGAAATAACAGGTGGGTCGCAAAGTTATGAAAAATTATTTAATTCCATTGTCTTTTACCTTATTCAAGCAGCCTGAATTTGTAAGTATAGTCATTTGTGTATAATGTGTTCTCATAAAGATTGGTAGTCAGCATGTTATAATTTTTTTTTTTAATTTTATTGGTGTTAGTTGGTTTACAGTGTTGTGAGCATGTTACAATTTAACAATCTAATTTCAGGCATGATTTGAGGTTTGAAAGACTTGGAATATGGGTCCATTTTTGTGCCCATTGAGTCTTCTGTCAGTTTCAAATGTGCCAGGAACTCTCTTTAAAATCTTGCAAAGCCACTCACACTTCTGTATCAGATGAATATCCAAAAAATAATGATTTTACTTAAGATTATCTTTAAGCACCATCTGTCGTAGTGTTTACATATAAAATTAAAATTCTAGACTGAAATGTTTGCTATTTCCAAGTCTCTCTCTCACACACACACAGACACACACAGTGTAAAGCTTTCAATGAAACCTGAATTTTACTGGTAAAAAAATCTTTTCTCTTTACTAGTTATTACGTTGGATGGTACTACCCCTGTACGGTATGGACTAAGACTGAATATGGATGAAAAGTACACAGGTTTGAAAAAGCAGCTGAGTGCTCTCTGTGGACTTAAATCAGAACAAATCCTTCTTGCTGAAGTACATGGTTCCAACATAAAGGTGATATTAACTGTTCTTTTTAGGAAACTCTTGATTCCATCCTTCAAAGATCACAGTTTTCTCAATTAATTATTGTGTCAAATGACCAAGGGAGATAATAAAACACAACAAAAACTGGAAAAAAATTTTGAGGGCTTCCCTGGTGGCGCACTGCTTGAGAGTCCGCCTGCCGATGCAGGAGACGCGGGTTCGTGGCCCGTTTCGGGAAGATCCCACATGCCGTGGAGCGGCGGGGCCCGTGAGCCATGGCCACTGAGCCTACGCGGCCGGAGCCTGTGCTCCGCAACGGGAGAGGCCACAACAGTGAGAGGCCCGCCTAACGCAAGAAAAAAAAAAAAAAACTGAAAAAAAATTTTGAGGGCTTCCCTGGTGGCGCCCTGCTTGAGAGTCCGCCTGCCGATGCAGGAGACGCGGGTTCGTGGCCCGTTTCGGGAAGATCCCACATGCCGTGGAGCGGCGGGGCCCGTGAGCCATGGCCACTGAGCCTACGCGGCCGGAGCCTGTGCTCCGCAACGGGAGAGGCCACAACAGTGAGAGGCCCGTGTACCGCAAAAAAAAAAAAAGAGTTGTCTACCAGAATAAAAGAGTAATAATGATGGTGGTATTTTTATTATTATTATTTTTTTGGCCACATTGCATGGCATGCAGGATCTTAGTTCCCCTACAAGGGATCGAACCCGTGTCCCCTGCAGTGGAAGCACAGAGTCTTAACCATTGGACCACCAGGGAAGTCCCAATGGTGGTATTTTTAAAGAAGGGAAATATGTAAGCCCAAAGCTACGTATATGGAGTGATCTAGCTGTGTCACTACAGTCTAGATTTACCCCCAGTGACTGCTGCTGCTACACCTAACAGCTCTTCTGTATTACCGCTATTGCTAGAATTCTTAAAGTATTTTATATATGTACGAATGTGTTCTTTTAGTACTTATTTATGAATATATATACCTAGCCTTTCAACACACTAAGAAATTAAAGAGTAAAGGCAAAGTGACACAAATCACTTCTTCTTGCATACCAGCTGGAGAAACAAGAAATTTAATAAATATATTGCCTACCCTAAATTGAGCTCCTACCACTGGTATTATTTATATTCATCTTCGGGGTTTCTGAACAAACTCCCACCTCTTTGACATTTTTTTCCATATGTAATGCGGAGGTGAGATCTCTCTGGGGAGTTTGGGTTTAGATTCTTGAAATGACGGACAAAACTTAAGAAGTCAATTATACACATCATACTGCCCTCCTATGAAAAGGGATAATGGTTTTGTCAGGAAGGTTAGTTTTCACTTAGTTTATCAAGCTTTCATTTATAGTTATTTTAGAAAAATTATTTGGACATCTTATTTGTTTTACTGATAAAAGGATCTAAGACATTTGCTTCAGATATATCAGAGAGATGATTCTCCATTTTATCTGAAACATCTCCCCCTTCTCATCTCGCCTCTTTTTCTATAGAATTTCCCTCAGGACAACCAGAAAGTACGACTCTCAGTGAGTGGATTTTTGTGTGCATTTGAAATTCCCGTCCCTGGATCTCCAATTTCAGCTTCTAGTCCAGTACAGACAGGTAAGATAGAACTAGAGCTCCTTCTCATGATTTTAGCTTTGAATAACAGTCTAAGGGTTGTCATCCTTTTTAGGCTTTTGTTTAGGCTAAAAATATTAGAGCAAAAGAATTTTGGAGCCTGAAGGAAACCTTGGTGATCATTTATCTCAAATCCTCATTTTATAGGTGAGGAACCTAAAATTCAGAGAACCTAAGTTAGATAGGTAGTTATTAGCTAAATCTACCACTGGAATTCAGATCTCCTTTAACTCTTTTATCTAATATTAACATGGTAACAGATGGTATGAGAGAAATGTACTATCAGAAAACAAAATAATAAATTTGACTAAAAAAGAATCTGTTTATCTCATATTGCCTGTGATTTAATATGGTCATCCAATGAGTCTTTTTGACCATTAGTGGGGTTTGTCTCCTCTTTATACTGTTGGCAGTTAGATTCGTTCCCCAACTATAACATGCTTCAGAGAGAATGAGGCTCCTCTCATTGGCACTCAGTAGATAGTACTGATGGTTGGGTTGGTGGATGATTTAACATTGCTTTTTGGTTATCATCACCGTCCAATAGAACTGTCTGCAATGAGGAAAACTTCCTGTAATCTTTGCCATCCAATAGAGTTATCTACTAGTCACATGGACTGTTTAGCACTTGAAATGTGGCTAGTCAAAGGGAGGAAATGCACTTTTCATTTAATTTTAATTTAAAAAGCAACGACTTTCATCAGTTGTAACAAATGTTTCACTCTGGTGGGGCAGGTTGCTACTGGGGGAGGCTGTGCTGGGTGGGGGCAGGCAGCAGGTGGGAAATCTCTACCTTGCTCTTTATTTTACTGAGTCTAAAGCTGCCCTAAAAAATAGTCTTTTTTAAAAATTAAACAATTTTTTAAAAACCCATCATCTGGCTTGGGACTACCATCTTAGAACATTTCTAGAAGAATGGAGAAATGAACTTTTAGAGGAGAGGAAAAAGAAAAGCAGTAGAACTGTTTTCGTGCCACAACACGGTACTAATAAAGATTGTTGGAAAAATTTTACTTACTCTTTCTATCAGTTACTCATGCTTTGTCATTTAGTTAGAAGTGTGAGTTATCGAGGTAAAATCTGAAGTTAAAATCTTCCAGTTAATCTAGAATTATCATTTGACCTATGATTCCTCCCTGTCCTCTGTTAAAAGACACTGTCAGTGGTCTGGGTCCCAGCGATATTTGAGAAAAGAGCAAAGATAAAGGTACCACAGACTTGTGATGCTATACTTATCTTTGAATTTGTAGATTTCTCCTCTTCCCCATCTACAAATGGAATGTTCACCCTAACCACCAATGGGGACCTGCCTCGATCCATATTCATCCCCAATGGAATGCCAAACACTGTTGTGCCATGTGGAACTGAGAAAAACTTCACAAATGGAATGGTGAATGGTCATATGCCATCTCTTCCTGACAGTTCCTTTACAGGCTACATCATTGCAGTCCACCGAAAAATGGTTAGTTTAATGTTAGGCAAGTTACTGCTGGTCTTGCCAGTGTTATTTATGAAACAGCCACTTTCTGTCTTTGCAACATCTTCAGTGTGTGCACTTTCAATGTGTTATGTTCTAAGTGATTGCAGCCAGGATTTAATATCACACATGACAGCCTACGTATGAAATGACATTCCTCACTCATGTATCAAGCAGCAACAGGAGAGCTGGTGCATCTGCATATAGTACTACTGTCTTTAAAAAGTTTGTGGCTCCTATATGTTCACGTAGCCATGTACATCTTCTCCGCCATATAAGTGTAGATGCCTTTGGAGAAGGTTTTGTTTGTTTGTTTTGGATGGAGAAACAAGAAGATTCTTGGGCAAGGCAAGTTGTTTCCTAGGACTGCTGTAACAAATTACCACAAACTTGGTGGCTTTCACAGTTCTGAAGGCCAGAAGTCTGAAGTCAAGGCATCAACAGGGTTGTGCCCCCTCCATAGGTTTTAGGAGAGAATCCTTCTTGCCTCTTCCAACTTGTACAGGCATTCCTTAGCCTGTGGCTGTGTAACCCCAATCTCTGCATCTGTCTCGGCCTTCTTCTCCTTCTTCCTCTGCCTTTCACTGATAAGAACAATTGTCATAGGATTTAGGGGCCATCCACATAATCCAGGATGATATCTCAATTTAATTACATATGCAAAAACCCTTTTGCCATATAAGGTCACATTCATAAGTTCTTGGAGTTAGGATGTGGACATATCGTTTTGGGGACCACCAAAATTCACTACAGAAATCATTTATCATAAAATTATCATTTATTCAAAAAACTAAGCACCAAGAAAAAAATTAAATACCTGGAAATAAACTTTACAAAACATATACAAGGTATCTGTATAGAAAACAATAAAATATTATGGCTAGAAATTAAAGAAGACTCAGATGTTTGAAGGAACAGACCGTGTTCATGGTTTAGAAGACTCAGTATTTCAAAGATGTCCGTTCTCCACAAACAAATCTACAGATTCAATGCACAATCCCAATAAAAATGCATACTCTGTATGTGTATGCTTGTGTGTGTATAACTTGATAAGCTGATTCTAATATATGGAAGCACAAAGCACTAAAATAACCAAGACAGTCTTGAAGAAGAACAAAACATGAAGAATTGAGCTACCAGATATCATGATTTTATAAAGCAATGATACTTGAGACATTGTGATATTGGTGTGAGAAAAGGCAAATAGACCAATGAAATAAAATAGAGAGCCGAGAAACAGGTTCACATATGTATGAACACTTGATTTATAACAAAGACAACATTACAGAGCAGTGGAAGACAGTTTTCTTGGTAAATGGTGCTGGGATAATTGAATAGCCATATGAAACTTGACACACCTACCTCTCACCACATAAAAATCAATTCCAGGTGGACTGCAGAATTAAATATGAAGGCAAAACAGAAAAGCAGACCCTAGAAGATAATAAACGTGAATATATTCCTGACCTTGGTTTAGAGAAAAAGATTCTTGAATAGGACACAGAAAGCACTAACCATAAAAGAAAAGATAAATTGTACATCATTAAAATTTTGAACTTCGGTTTCATCAAAAGACATCACTAAGAAAGTAAAAGGCAAGCCTAGGAGTAGAAGATGTTTGTAACTCATATAACCAACAAAAAGGCTCAATCCAGAAAATATAAAGGACTCCTATAAGTCACTAAGAAAAAACAATTCAATTAAAAAAATGGCTAATACTTAAATAGGCACATCACAGAAAGGATATCTAAGTAGCCAATAATCATATGAAAAAGTGATCAGCCACACTGCTAATTAGGGAAATGCAAATTAAAATCACATTACGAAGACTTCCCTGGTGGCACAGTGGTTAAGAATCGGCCTGCCAATGCAGGGGACACAGGTTCAAGCCCTGGTCCAGGAAGATCCCACATGCCGTGGAGCAACTAAGCCCATGCGCCACAACTACTGAGCCTGCGCTCTAGAGCCCATGCGCCACAACTGCTGAGCCCACGTGCCACAACTACTGAAGCCCACGGCCTAGAGCCCTTGCTCCACAACAAGAGAAGCTACTGCAATGAGAAGCCTGCGCACCACAATGAAGAGTAGGCTGCACTCTCCGCAACTAGAGAAGATCACGTGCAGCAACAAAGACCCAAGGCAGCCAAAAATAAATAATTTTTTTTAAAAACCCACATTACAATATCACTGCACATCCACCAGAATAGGTATCATTATTAAACAGGTTGACAGTGTTGGTAAGAATAATTGAGCAACAGGAAATCTCATACACTGCTGATGAGAGTGTACATTAATACGGCTACTTGTAAAAATAGTTTTCTAACTAAAGATAAGTAATTCCACTATTCCATTTTGTGTTTTTATGAAAACACAAAATAAAACCACTAAATGTCCATTAGTAGTAGAAAGGATAAGGAAGTTGAGACATGGTCATATAATAGAATATTATACAGCAATGAAAATGAATGAATTTTTAGTTATACCCAACATAAATGAATCTCATAAACATAATGTGGGAAAGAAGCCAGACACAAAAGAAATACCAATAATATGATTCTATTTATAAATAAAAACTTTAAAGACAGGGAAAATGAAATTTACTGTTTATGCGTAGGGTATAAAATGATAAAGAAAAGCAAAGAATTGATTACCATAAAATTGAGAAAAACTGTTACCGCTAGGAGGAAGGAAAAATTTGTGATTGGGAGGAAGCAAGAGGAAGGCTTTGGAGTGCTGGCTGAATTGTTTCTTGACCTGACTGGTGATTACACAACTATTTGCTTTGTGATAATTCTTTGAAATGTATATTTTCCCTCCTTTGAATCAGTAACTCCCGAGTTAAAGTGATTTTCTGACCATGTGAACGATGTTCTGTGGAACATATTCTAAACAGGATTGTATGAGTGGACATCCTAGAGAATTAAGGGATATATTTGTGTCTTGGAATTTTGTTTAAGCACAGCTCCAACAGGTCCCATCAGCTAAAATAATTGGGGTGATTCATTTATTTCCCCATGTCTTTTTTAACGGAGCATTATCAGATTACATATTAAGAACACATGTATTTTTAATCTTTCTTAGAAAACAGCTCTCTTCAGCTATCATGTATATGTTACATAAAGTGCTTGTAAGTGCTAAAGCATTATATATAGGTTTCTGTAATTATTGGACCATAAAGCCATATTGTCAGCTCGAAATTTTCACCTTTTAACCAGTTCCCTGTTTCCAGTTTCCTTCGTGATCTAGCAGCTTCTTTGGGGAATGCCTAAAATTGATTTTACCATCTGTCCCAAGTCAACTCCCTTTTCCCATTATTCATGTGAAAGGCAACACTGTTCTTCCATGCTAAAGGCTAAAGGCTAGAAGTGTTCTTAGATTTTTTTCCCCCTTTTCTTCTAAAACCCTATATTCAGTATATCATTATTCCTTTTAATTTCTTCTTTCAAAATACTACTTGAATTTACCATTTTTCGTCATTTTCATTGCCACCTTCTTCTTTCAGACCCTTTGATCTCATGGTTGACTTACTTTGAAAGTATTTTTCTTCTACTCCCTTCTACAAGTTAGAAAAAGAAGGGGAATAAGGCAAGGTAACATAGGCAAGAATATTCAGAGACTAAAGGGAGAAATAGTGTTGTGTTGACACAACAACTAAAGGGAAGTCAGGTTCAAAAAAAAATTAAGAAAGAAAGACGTGGTTACATAGGCCAGAGACATCAAAAAGAACAAAAACTGAGAAGCTGGGCTGTGTAACCAAGTAAAGAAATAGGGCAAGAACTTAGCACAGTTAGGTCAAGTGAGTTTTTTCAGATTAGAGAAAAAGTTGTTAGGGGAGGGCAAAAGGAAAATTCCTGATGCAGTAAAGCTGGGAGCATTATCCCATTAGGAACTGAGCAGGTATGGGCCACAGGGCCCTGGGAGAAGTTACCTTCAAAAGGATGAAAATTGTGTGGGTTTAGAAGAGAAATACAGGGACTTCCCTGGTGACACAGTGGTTAAGAATCCGCCTGACAAGGCAGGGGATGCGGGTTCGAGCCCTGGTCCAGGAAGACCCCACATGCAGCAGAGCAGTTAAGCCCATACACCACAACTACTGAGCCCACGTGCCACAGCTATTGAAGCCCAGGCACCTAGAGCCCATGCTCTGCAACAAGAGAAGCCACCACAATGAGAAGCCTGCACACCGCAATGAAGAGTAGCCCCCGCTCGCTGCAACTAGAGAAAGCCCACGCACGGCAACGGAGACCCAACGCAGCCAAAAATAAATTAATTAATTTAAAAAAAAAAAAAGAAGAGAAATACACTGAGAAGAGTAAAGAAATAGTTGCTTAAATGACCTCATTTATTTAGTAAAATAAGTCATCTACCAGGAGTTGGAGTGGAAGAAAAGTAGAAGTTTTAGAAGAGAAAAACTCATCTAAGTTTTTTGATTTTTAAAAAATAGTTCTGAACTCTGTCCACATTTCTCTGGATCTTATAATAATATAACTACCAACACATGAAATGGGGTCTTAAAATCATGTACTTAGCTAACCTTAAGTGAATAACGGCTAAACAAAATACTTGAGGATCTGAAATAAGAGTCTTTTCACTTAGAAACTAGTGGGTTTATAAGTTGTTGGCTTAGCTTCTCTACTATATAAAGACCAAACTTAAAGAATTAAATGTCCAAGCGCTCATCAGCTTTTTTGAGTAATCCTGCAACTCCCAGCAACCTTTCTATTATACTGAACTTTTGTTTTAAGCCATCATTTCCAAGCTAATTCTGTGCAGTATCTCCGTGTTAAGAAATGATAAAAATCTCCTTTAACATACTCAAAGCAAACGTTTTAAAAGTTTACCTTACTTTTATTCTATCGTGTAATTAAGAATATGATTTTTAATTTTTTTACATATGATTCAGTGTGTGTGAGAAATATTTATCAGAGAAAAACTACGCAGTTTCAAAATATTAAATGCTGAAAACCCAAGTTTGATAGAGAGCAACTCTGAAATTGGCAATACCTCAACCTTTCAGTGATTCCACTTTGAATAACCATTCTCTTCATATTAATAAAAGATGGTCCTATAAATAAAGAGAAGTGTGATAGCGACTAAGTTGAAAATGGTAGTGATGCCTGTTTTTGGCAGTCTTAGAAGAATGAAAGGGAGGAATCAGAGGCCTATCTTCTCCGCTCTTTCTTCTCTTGTTTGTACATACAGATGAGGACAGAACTGTATTTCCTGTCATCTCAGAAGAATCGCCCCAGCCTTTTCGGAATGCCTCTGATTGTTCCGTGTACTGTGCATACCCGGAAGAAAGACCTGTATGATGCAGTTTGGATTCAAGTATCTCGATTAGCCAGCCCACTCCCACCTCAGGAAGCTAGTAATCATGCGCAAGACTGGTGAGTTTCAGGGCATCTTCCTAGATCTTTGGTTTCCAAATGTAGAAGAAGAATTTATGTGAATTCTGTGTGATTTATAGCACCCATTCCATGTCAGGTTAATCACTCCTTGAAGAACCATCCATATAGTTCAACCATTTGGTTTGGTCTTTTGAGTAGGAGAGACTGTACACCTTCCTTTCATCACCTAGACATTCCAGTGTCTAATAATCGTTGTATTCTCTGATCTCTTACCTAAATCTTTTCAGCTAGTATTTTATATGCTTCAGGTAATACCCTTGGCTTCTGTTACTACAAAAGTAGAGAGTATGAATTCACCAGGAAATTTGCATCATCTCAACCCTCTGAAATTCCGAATGGGAGCAGTATCTATACGTGCATATCTATACATGAACTCTGAAAAAGTCTCATGCCATAACAATGATTCAGTTGAATTATCTCCCTACCATGTCATTTTAACATGGAGTAATAAGTCTTGGTAAAGAAAATAAGCACCTTCTGTTTTTTTTTCCATTCCTCTTACCACTGTTCTATTGGATTAGTAAATGTATTTACTTCTAATCTTTGGGATTGTGTTGCCTATTATATCTCATTTGAATTGAAGATCATTTTCTTGTTATCATGGTGCAAGTGGGAGTTCTGCTTCTGTGTTAGCTGGGTAAAGAAATTATTTTTGCTGATAGGTTATTTGTTATGGTATGAGGGTCTTTTGATAATTAGGATACGGCTTAAGGTAAATAAATTTTAAAGGAAAAGTACAAATAATAGATAAGTGATTTAATTGATGAATGTTGTGTTTAGTAAAAATGACAATAGGGCAAGATTAAATTTGAAGTGAAAATCTAATTGAATTAAAAGGCTTCTAGATGAGGACTTTTCCCAGGGCTTGCTAATGAATCAGATATGGAGTATGAGGGGAGGAGGAATCCAAGCTAGATTTTCAGCCTGAACAATTGTTTGTGAATGCTGGTACCATTTAATGAAGTGAGGAAGACTGGAGAAGGAGTAGGTTTTGGCAAGCAATGATAGGAATCAAGCTAAATTCAAGATCTGTGTTATATTTTCAAGTGGGAGATAGACTTAAGGTCTTTCCAGGAGGTATAAATATAGGTGTCATCAGCAAATAGTTGGTATTTAAAGCCCTGAGACCAGTTGATATTATTTAGATAGTAAGAGAGAAGATGCCTAAGATCTAATTCCTGATGCATTCCAGCATTTAGAGGCTGAGTAATGGAGGGAGAGACAACAAAGGAGATTCAGAAGGAACAGCCAGTGAAGTAAGAAGAAAATCAGGAGTGAGTAGTGTCCCAGAAGTTAAGTGAAAATAGTGTTTAAGGGAGGACTGATCAGATTAAGAGAAGGACTGGGAATTGACCACTGGATTGATAAAATGGCAGCCTTTGGTGACCTTGCAAAAGCTGTTTTAGTGGAGTGGTGTAGATGAAGACACAGAGGTTAGGGCTTCCCTGGTGGCGCAGTGGTTGAGAGTCCGCCTGCCGATGCAGGGGACACGGGTTCATGCCCCGGTCCGGGAGGGTCCCGCATGCCGCGGAGCGGCTAGGCCCATGGGCCATGGCCGCTGAGCCTAGGCGTCCAGAGCCTGTGCTCCACAGCGGGAGAGGCCACAACAGTGAGAGGCCCACATACCGCCAAAAAAAAAAAAAAAAGAGAAGATGGTCCTGCAGACATTAAAAGAATAATAAGAGCTTATCTTTTAGAGATAACACAGTGAAATATTTATGGATGAAAATGATAAAATGCCTCTGATTTTCTTCAAAAGTACCTAGTGAGTCATAGTAGCCAAGAGGTGGAAACAACCCAGAAGTCCATCAACAGATGAATGGATAACAAAATGTGGTATATACATACAGTGGAGTATTATTCAGCCATAAAAAGGAATGTAGTTCTGATACATACTACAACATGGATGAGCCTTGAAGACATTACACTCAGTGAAATAAGCTAGACACAAAAGGACAAATATTTGTATGATTCCACTTTTATGAGGTGTATCTCGAATGGGCAAGTTTATAGACAGAAGGTAGATTAGAGGTTAACAAGGTCTGGGGGGAGGGGAATTTATTATTGCTTAATGGGTAGAGTTTCTGTTTGAGAAGATAAAAAGGTTCTGGAGCTGGGTGGTAGTGATAATTGCACAACATCGTGAATGTACCTAATGCCTCTGAGTTGTACACTTAAAATGATTAAATGGTAAATTTTATGTATATTGTACCACATTTTTAAAAAATGGAATAAAAGAATCTAGTGGAGCTAGGTAAGGGTATAGATGAAATAAGAGTGGCCAAGAGTTGATGATTAATTGTAGTTGGGTGCTGTTCATTGTACAGTTCTCTACTTTTCTGAGTATTTATGTCAATAAATTTGAAAATTTAGATTAAATGGACAAATTCCTGGAATTGAGGATCCATGCAGAAGATGATTAGTTTGAGGGTCAGTGGATAAGGAGGAAAGTGAGGATCTGAGGGCAGTGATTGGAGGTTTATGTTGGGTCAAAGAATTGTTAGAGTAGTGATACTTGAATAAGTGATCCAAGAAGATAGGAGATGTTTGTTTCAAAGTAGGATGTTTGGAATTGAGATTTTTGGAGATGGTAAAGTCCTTATCATGGCTTCATTACCTTCAGCAGCCATGTAATAGCCACTATCAATTGACAAGATCTAGAATATGACCATTGGAGAGGGTAGATCAATATAGAATGGAGATTATTGTTGGAAGAGAGAAGGCCGAGGAGTTGTTAGATAAGTTACACTGAAGTCACCAAGGGTATGATGGAAGTGACAGAGAGAAAAACAGTGAACTGCGTTCTAAAATCTTTAGTGAATAAAGAAAAAATGTCCCTACCAAGGAGGAATAGCAAGCAGGTGGTATAATTCAGTAGCAGATGCTACATAGAAACCAGAATTTTACCAGAAGTGGTAAAGAGGAGTAAGGAGGAGACCCATATCACCTTCAGGTTCTGGGGTGTATGAGAAGAAAGCTAGCACTTAAGAGGTGAACTGGAAGCGGAGTCCTCAGGAAAGCCAGGTTTCCGTTAGAGCAAAAAAGTAAAGAAACTTTTTAGAAGAGAGGTGCTGCACAGTTCTCTGCCAGAGTGCTACCTGGTTGTTTTGTCCCTTTATCTTTCTTTGGATTCCTCACTTACCATTGACCTGGTTTTCATTGACATGATACTGGGCAGCATGGGCTATCAATAGTCATTCAATCAACAAGTTATGCAGAAAGCTGGGAACTGCTGTGACAGGCATGATACTCACTGTTGCCCTTACACTGAATCCTTATCATGATTTTATTACCTTGAGCAGCCATGCAATAGCCACTACAAATTGCCAAATGATCCATAAAGTATATTGCTCTTATGTTATAGTCATTGCATTGCTTCTTATTGGGGCAAGGATGAATAAATTTTTTTAAAGTTGGAGAACTCACAAAGCTATCTTGCAGTTAAGACATTACCCTAAAAATGTTACGTAGCTTATAGCTTTAGATAGTTAAGGCAAGGAAAGGGGGTATCTGTCATGTACCACGTCAGGGATTCTGATTAAAGCTTCTAAATATATAGTCAACTCCTCTAATACCATTATGACCTTTCAGCTTTCTGTGGTGTGTCAGTGTTCTTGTCATGGAAGAGGTCTGGTTTAATGTGAGTTAAATCTCTTGATAGAATTAGGGCTGAAGGATAATTAGCATTTGATTTCATGATTAGCTTATTTTTATGAAATTTACATGGACCACATGGACTCTCTCAGAGACATCTGGCAGTCTGCTGTGTCTCCCCCTCTATAAGCAGGGAGCCCTGAGTGTGGTTGTACAGGGCTGCGGTTAATGGGTTAGGATAACCAGCGTTGAGCTGTCAATGTGAACATACTGCTCTGACAGATGCCCCTTTCTAGGGTTAGTTCAAGAGAAGATGAAAGAGACCTCAACTAAGAAATGTTTCTTATACTCCTTGGTTTATGTTCTGTTTCAGTGATGACAGTATGGGTTATCAGTATCCATTCACTCTACGAGTTGTGCAGAAAGATGGGAACTCCTGTGCTTGGTGCCCATGGTATAGGTAAAGTGACCTTCTGCAAAAGAAAAATTTTAGAATTGTAGCTTCAGATATTATACACTTTTCATAAGGTTTCCACTTTTTAGAAGTAATAATGAATAATGAAAAGCCTGAAATAAACTTAGGAATTCTTCATTTGTCTCTTCCCTGTGAGGTCTATAGCTAAGTTTTGCTCTTGAGATTTAGCTGGTTTTGTAAACTCTACAATCCTCATCAAATTCATAGTTTATGACTAACTTTTATCATTCTATACCTTCTGCTCCTTAGATATAAATCAGTTTAGCAATTCTGAGCCCAGTAAGACGTAGTCTATTTACTAGACCTTGCTGGAAGTCTATTTTTGGTTTTTAGAAGAGTTATGGAGATTGATTGGCCATTACTGTCCCAGCTTGGAAAATGCCTGAGTTCTGAAGTCAGCCTTCAGAGAACTGTAATAGCTTTAGCAAACTGAGTCTGTACAGGCCTTGGAACCATGGCCTTTGTCATGGTTCCCTCCCCACTCCATAAATTTTTATATATATTTATTTAATGTGCCATTTTACAAACAAGGAAATAGGCATGGTTATGCCAGATAAATTGTCCTACCTCCAAGCATTTAATAACTAAATTTAGAATTTCTTGAGGGTGTATGGTCTCAGATAGCCAATTCCCATATCATTTATTTGCCATAAAGTCCGCATATTCATGTGGATTTACAAATGGTTATCAAGTACCTTGAAAAACCAAAGATTTGAGAAGTGATAAGCAGGATTCCCTGAAATAATAATAATTACTAGTACATATTTATGCATTTATCAGTCTGAAGTTAGAAGCCCATGACAAATTGGGATGCCCAAGAAGGAAAGTAGAGAAGTAGAAAGGGGGACTTCCCTGGTGGTGTAGTGGTTAGGAGTCTGCCTGCCAATGCAGGGGACATGGGTTCGAGCCCTGGTCCAAGAAGATCCCACATGCCGCACAGGTAAGCCTGTGCGCCACAACTACTGAGTCCGCGCTGTAGAGCCCGTGAGCCACAACTACTGAGCCCATGTGCCACAACTACTGAAGCCTGTGCGCCTAGAACCCATGCTCCACAACAAGAGACGCCACTGCAGTAAGAAGCCCACGCATTGCAGTGAAGAGTAGCGCCCCCCCCGCAATGCAATTAGAGAAAGCCCGCAGGTAGCAACAAAGACCCAACGCAGCCATAAATAAATAAACAAACAAACAAATTTATTTTTTTAAAAAAGAAAAGAAGTAGAAAGGGAGAGTTTGGGGGTTTTTTGGGGGTTTGGGGGTTGTTTGGCCACGCCCCACAGCTTGCAGGATCTTAGTTCCCCTACCAGGGATTCAACCCAGGCTGTGGCAGTGAAAGCGACAAATCCTAACCACTGGACCTCCAGGGAATTCCCGGGGAGAATATTTCTGATACAGAAAATTTGGATTCCTTCATAATTACTCTTTCCTCAGTAGATCTTTTTTCCCCCTTTAGATTTTGCAGGGGCTGTAAAATTGATTGTGGGGAAGACAGAGCTTTCATTGGAAATGCCTATATTGCTGTGGATTGGGACCCCACGGCCCTTCACCTCCGCTATCAAACATCACAGGAAAGGGTAAGTACTCAAAACCATCATAAGATGGTGGTTTTCCTATGTAAAATTTTTCCCAGCTTAACTGTATCATGCCATTTCTATTTTCAGACAGTTTAAAAGCAGCTAGAAAAACATTCGTTGGCATTCTCTGTGGCACTTAAATATATTAACATGATTATGTGGCTGTTTCAGTTTTCCCACTTGTAGAGTTAATTGTATTGGAGCACTGAATTTCAAAAATATTAATAATAAGTAAATCTTGAAACAAAACTTTGGGCGTAATTAAGAAGTTATATTCTCTGGCCATGACATATCAAGCGTGCCAGTCTCTCTGCCTGTTTTTTAATTATTATTGAAGCTGCAGCATTTGGTAACCACTATTACTTAGCTCAAGTGCATTCCAGGGCTACAGCTGCTACCTTTAATGGGCACAGTGATCAGAAAATTAGAGAAAGAACTGAATGTTTCAAGACACCTAAGAGTACATCTCCATGCCTGTTCTTCACACTTAGCCTTCCTCTACTGCCACTCTGGCTGGAGCAGTTTTTAAACTTTGAAAACGTAACTTCCAAAAGAATACTACCTCCATATCTAAAAATGTTTGCCAAATATTGTTTGAAGGGTAGATTGACTAGATAGCTTGTGCATAGAGATATGAAGAATCTGGTGGAGATGTAAAAGCAACAGAATCAAAGGAGTTGTTTTAGTCACAGGAAGAGTAGTAGTGGCTTTTGCATTTATATGATTCTTGATGGAAATTTCCTTCACTGTTTCTTAAGGCATTCCCTTTAGATAAGTTAGTAACGAGAATTAACTTTTCTGTCCTTTTTTTTTTTTTTTTTTTTTAATTATGGTTGACTTACAATTTTTGTTAAATTTTTTATTGTAATAACTTTATTTTATTTAACTTTTTTTTCCTTTTTTTTTTTTTTTTTTTTTAAGTATAGTTGACTTACAATGTTGTGTTTCTGGTGTACAGCAAAGTGATTCTGTTATACATACATATATATTCTTTTTTATATTCTTTTCCATTATGGTTTATTACAGGTTACTGATTATAGTTCCCTGTGCTGTATAATAGGATCTTGTTGTTTATCCATTCGCATATATAATGCACGTATAATAGTTCTCGTCTGCTAATCCCAAACTCCCAATCCAACCCTCCCCAACCCCTTGGCAACCACAAGTCTGTTCTCTATGGACTTTTCTGTCTTTTTGTGCTATTGAGGAGTGGGGGAACTCCCATTCCCAGACCAAATTCCCTACTTGGATCCCTAAATATGCCCCCACACACCCTAAGGATCTCACTAGCCAAGGATGAGTACTATTTGTGGATACTTGGCCAAATGAAAGATCATTGGGCTAAAGGAAGCTGAAGAGAAGTAGATGTTTTGGCAGATTATGCTCACTGTAGCAAGGTAATTCAATAACCTCAACCATGGTTACTTTGAAGAGGGAAAATTTTAGCAATTGAAAGAAAGATTCTTAAATCTTCATCAGCACAAAATCCAACAGGACATTATTGTGACAAGATACTCCTGTCAAAGATGAAAAATTATTTGGCTGTAAATCTCCTTCCCTTTTTAACAAACCCAGTGTGCAATCTGAAAAACTCTGGAAGACATCCTGCTTTATAGGAAGAGGGACCTACGTGACCTGTTAAATCTCATCCCACTTCCATTTTCAGTGATGCTCTTAGGATACCATGGAAACCAAGCTGCTACTGAGATATCCTTCCTTGCTGGGGAATGGGGCCACATGACTAATTTCTTCCTACATGTGGTTTCTGCATGTGCTTGGAGAGTCACGTAGACAAAGGAGATTCAAAATTGAGATTGTTGCCTGTATGTTTTATGGTTTTTATTCCAGTAATTCCCCTTTGAAGAATTTATCCTAGGGAAATACTCTGTGATTTGCTGACAAATTTCATCATAGCATTTGTTAGAATAGTAAAAAATTAGAAGCAACTTGTATTTGTCCCACATTAGAGGCATGTGGTATAGAAATTGGATAAAATATTATGCAGCCATTGAAAATGCTGACTACCAGGAGTTTTTCCCGACATACATAGAGAGATGCTTATGATGTCTTGTAAAGTTTTTTATAAAGCAAGCTATAAAATTGAAACAAAAGATATAAAATTGCATACACTGAAAAATCTCTTCATATTAAAAAAAAGGGCAGAAGAAAATCTGCCAATATTTTGACAGTTTGCCTTTATATTAAGAGTATAAAAGGTTTCCTGCCTTTTTACATTTTTCACTGCTATCCAGAATTTCTACATGAATGTTTTATTTGGTAAGGAGGGAAAAATATAGGCAATTGTGCTTATTCTTTTTACTTTTCCCATTTGGACCTCATATTCCTTAATAAAAAATTAAACTAAATAACTTCTCAGATCTCCCTCTTTTTCTGATAGTCTTATAATGTATGAAAGCTTATTATTTCATTCCTTTATGTTTTGGGCTAAGGATGAGCTTTCAAGCAACTTAGATTAAAAAAAAAAAGGAAGAGGGTGCCAATAATAATTTAGACCATTTGAATAATCGTAGAGGATCTGGGAATGGATCCCAAGAGGTAAAGGGAATCTTTGTCATTTAGGGAAATTTTATTAATAAATAAAAATTATTTTTGTCCACAGATATGTTTTTCATCCACCTCCTTCCTCCCTGTCTCCATCCAGCTCTATAGCCTGTGTGTTCTATAGAAAATATAGTCAATAAAAATCAACATTCTTTACTTACTTACTATAATTTGTGGTTGACCATAAAGCATCCCTGGTAGAGATAAGAATACAGATAATGTTTAACTGGCTGTGAGAAAAGAGACAGTACTATATTTAATACACCTCTTTTTCTACTCTGATTCTAACCACCATGATACAGCATGTTTCCTTTTGAAGCATGTCAGTTTTTCCCTTGGATGACCAGCCCTAAAAATGATGAGAGTTAGTATCAGAAAAGAAGTCAAGGTCAAGCCAGATTTTCCTTCCTAAAAAGAAGAGATTTCCTCTAAGTTCCCCTTTTTAAATAAGCTCTTTAGAAATGGATGGTGATGCAATGCTAAAACTCTTCATTGCATAATCAACCCCAACCTTGATAGTTTATAAAAACATTTGACAGCCTGTGACTCAGCCATCTTCTCACGTAGGGAAAAAGTCACACCTGAAAACCTGTTCTAAACGGTGAGCTCAGGAAGGAAAACTTGAGGGAAATTGCCTCAGGCAAAGAGAACCAATTCACCTCAGGAAGGGAGGAGTAATAAGTGGAGTGAGTGTCAAATAAGTGTCAAAAAGAGAAGCATTCATTGTTGTACTTGTTGTCCCGGCCCCACCCTGCGATGTAATCCCTGTGGAGTCTCACCCTCATTCATAGTCATACTATGTATGCCTCACCTGCCTGGTTCTTGATTGCTTATTAAGTGGCAGCCAAGAATTGGAGAGGGAAAAATCCTTCCTTTCTGTTGCATTCTAGGCCCCTCCTTGTCTCCTTCCTCCTGATTCCCACGCCACCTCCAACATACATCCTTGCACATCTACCCCCCTTTGTTCTCTGCTTCCTCATATTTACCTCCTCCTTGCTTCAAAGCCTAGCATGCTGGTTAATAGGAACCACAGAGGTTTGGGCAGGTAATAGGGGTCTTCTCAGCAAAATCAGGCTTTTTTGAGCTTGCTGTTCCTTTTATTGCCATCTCAGATAGAAAGGCACCAAGAGGCAGGAGACAGATAATAATACACATGGTATTTTGATAACTCTGTGTTCCGTGTCATCAATATGCAGATGAGTTGTAGCCTGTGAGTTTTAATGCCCTGGGGGTTGTCCTCTTAAGGTGAGCTTTTCTGTATCCTTTCTTATTTAATCCAGATCTGGCATCTGTGTTTCAGTGATATTATTTCTCCTAGCCTCTGTAAAGCCTGCAGCATACTAATAATATTCTGTGTCCCTGTTAAAAAATAAATGGCCTGGACTTCCCTGGTGGCGCAGTGGTTGAGAGTCCGCCTGCCGATGCAGGGGACACGGGTTCATGCCCCGGTCCGGAAGGATCCCACATTCCGCGGAGCTGCTGGGCCCGTGGGCCATGGCCGCTGGACCTGCGCCTCCGGAGCCTGTGCTCCACAACGGGAGAGGCCACAGCAGTGAGAGGCCCGCGTACCGCAAATAAATAAATAAATAAATAAATAAATGGCCTAATCTCAACACCCTGGCTTGAGAGCCAGTCCACATGTAAGCTGTTTTAGGATTTCAAATTGTAAAATAAACAGGCAATTCCTTGTTTGTTTTTGTTTTTGTCATTTGGAAGCATGCAGAAATTTTCCCCCAAAAAGCTATGTTCATGTAAATAGAAATTTGATCAAGGATGTTATTGATGTTATATTTGTGAATAAATGTACAAATGCCCTATTTGCTTAGACTCTAGTTTGGGTTGTATTTTTTTCCTCATGTAAAGTAAATGAGGTTGAGTCACCTAGAGGATGATACATAGCAGGTGACCATTTTAAACCCCCTGCTTCCCACCCACCCCTTCTCCTGTTCCTCCTGTCCCCTCCCCCTGCAGGTTGTAGATGAGCACGAGAGTGTGGAGCAGAGTCGGCGAGCACAAGCTGAGCCCATCAACCTGGACAGCTGCCTGCGTGCTTTCACCAGTGAGGAGGAGCTAGGGGAAAATGAGATGTACTACTGCTCCAAGTGTAAGACCCACTGCTTGGCAACCAAGAAGCTAGATCTCTGGAGGCTCCCCCCTATTCTGGTATGTTACAGTCCCACCTCTGAGAGAGCAAGAATCTAGCTTGAAGGAAAGAAGTGGGGAACAAATAAGAGTTTTTGAGAATAAGACCCTTCCTGCAGCAGTGTTTAAAACACATTTGCTGTTGCACACAGAGATGAATTGTACTACAGATATATGCTAGTTTTGTATCCTAAAGAGCATACAGCCTAGAAGGGGAGAGAAGTCATAGAGACCAGTAACTGCATTAAGTGCAGTATATGAGAAGTGCCATGAGTGGTACAACCTGGTGAATTTGAACTTCAGGAGAAGGTGGAAGCACTCCTGGCTCTAGGGAGAGAGGAAGCTTTAGGCTTGTGCTTTATGGACTGCAGAAGAGAACAGAGGCTGAACCTCCAATCCCGCTGTGCTTCATCACATGGCCACAACACGCTGCTGAATTAAATGTGAAGGCGCAAGTGCACTGGGGCTTACATATTCTTTCTGGTTTGATGTACTTCTGCCTTCTCCATTCATGGATTAGGAGACTCACCTGTTGCTTGTCAAGAAAGTTTGAGGTGTCAGTTCTTCCTATTCATTTAAGAAAGTTTTTTCCTTAAGGGAGGAAATCATATCAAATATAAGGCACTGGCGTATTTTAACCAGACCTTGTGTGTATTTTTTTATTCATATCTTCTTCCTACTACTCTGTGAGACTGTGAATGTAGACCAGAACAACTTCCCAGGGAAGGATGCACAAGAAATTACTAATGCTGATTAGCTAGCTCCAGGGATGGGAAGCAGAGCACAGGGACAGGCTTGGGAACAGGTAGGTGGGAAGGGGGAAGTTTTTTTTTTTTAGTTGAGGTATAGTTAACATGGAATTAAATTCATAGATTTTAAATGTCTAGTTTGATGAGTTTGACAGTTATATATACTCATGTAACCATCACATAAAACATATCATGAAGCGTTGGCATTTGTAAAACTATGTTTTTGAGGTCTTTAAAGAATAATGAGGGGCTTCCTTGGTGGTGCAGTGGTTGAGAGTCCGCCTGCCGATGCAGGGGACACGGGTTCGTGCCCCGGTCCGGGAAGATCCCACATGCCGCGGAGCGGCTGGGCCCGTGAGCCATGGCCGCTGAGCCTGCGCGTCCAGAGCCTGTGCTCCGCAACGGGAGAGGCCACAACAGTGAGAGGCCCGCGTACCGCAAAAAAGAAAATTGCACCTGAAAGAAAGTAATGAATGGATGCAGTAATGATTAGCAGGTAAACTGGTAAATGATAGTAAATTTAAATAAGAAAAAAAAAAAAAAAAAAAAAAAACAAAGAATAATGAGGAGTGAATGTTATGTTGAGAGCTTGGTGGGCTTCTCTTAAATCCACACACCAGCATGCCCCTTAGAAAGGGGTTCTCTTTATATAAACAGTAAATTGTAAAGCATTTAGGGTAGAGGGAGCCACCCAAATATCTGTGCCCACAGCAGAGAGCATAATAACACTGCGTAAGGCTAGAGGAATTCATTGCTCTTGAAAAGAAAAAGAGAAGCCAAAAAAGAGAAGGGAGATTCTTATGCTCTTCAGGACAGTGAAACTCCGTGGTAGCAACCAAAGGATGTGGTAAGAAGGAAGAGGCCTCCTATTGGAGACTGGGTAAGTTTCATCTGTAAAAAACGCCTCCATTTTTCTTCAAAACATTCAGTATATAGTATTCTATCCTCATGAGTGTGTTTATGAATGGATCTTCTATGATATTGGAGAGAGGTAAAGGTCGGCATGTGTCACAAGCCCAGAGAACATGCAAGTATAGGCTCCTAGGATGTTGAAGGAAATTAGGAGGATTACCATGTTAGTCACTGCTAAAGGGCAGTGGCCTGACGGTTAACTGTGTTACATAATAAAATATATTCTTCCAGGGGAAAAAAAGTTAGGTTATATTTTTGGAACATTTACGTGTATTAGACTTGGGGATTTTTAATGTGTATTTTGTATCTTCAGAACTCTTTAATGCAAGTGTTTTCTATTCTTCTCCAGATTATTCATCTTAAACGATTTCAATTTGTAAATGGGCGATGGATAAAATCACAGAAAATTGTTAAATTTCCTCGTGAGAGCTTTGACCCTAGTGCTTTTTTGGTGCCGAGAGACCCAGCTGTCTGTCAGCGTAAACCACTCACACCCCAGGGGGATGACCTCTCTGAGCCCAGGGTTCTGGCAGGAGAGGGGAAGAAAGTGGATGCTCAGAACTCAGCTGGGGAAGACAACATGCTCCTGAGCAAGAGCCCATCCTCACTCAGCGCGAACGTCATCAGTAGCCCTAAAGGTGAGGAGGCCTGGGGGACTTCACGGAGCCCAGACATCACTCTGCAAGGGGCTCTCCAGGGATCCCTCTAGGCTGCGTGTTTCCCTGTTTTCCACTCTGGAGCAACAGCTTGGTTGTACAAGGAACCTGTCTGAAATGTGACTTTTAGCAAGAAGTACAGCCTCGTTAAATCTATTTTCTCATTCATAAAATGAAGATAATACTAAGTTCACAGAATGAGAAATTGATACATCAAGAGTAAAGCACTTTAGGACTTCCCTGGGTCCAGTTGTTAAGACTTAGCGCTTCCAGTGCAGGGGGCACGGGTTCAGTCCCTTGGTCAGGGAACTAAGATCCCACATGCCGTACTGCATAGCCAAAAAAACCCCAAAAACAAACAAAACATTTAAAAAAAGAAAAAGAGTAAAGAACTTTACATAGAGCCTGACATTTGGTGATCATGAATGATAGTTGTCATCCTTGTTCCCTTACAGCAGGAGTTCTCAAAATGTAGTCTGGGAACCCCTAGAGAGTCCCTGAGACCCCTTCTGGAGGATCAGAACTGTTTTCATAAAAACACTAAGTATTTGGGGGTTCCCTGGCGGTCCAGTTGTTAGGACTCAGCACTTTCTCTGCTGTGGCCCAAGGTTCAATCCCTGGTCAGGAAACTAAGATCCCACAAGCCACGCAGCAAGGCAAAAATAAAAGAAAAAGGAAGGGGCTTCCCTGGTGGCGCAGTGGTTGAGAGTCCGCCTGCCGATGCAGGGGACATGGGTTCGTGCCCCGGTCCGGGAGGGTCCCACATGCTGCGGAGCGGCTGGGCCCATGAGCCATGGCCTCTGAGCCTGCCTGTCCGCAGCCTCTGCTCCGCAGCGGGAGAGGCCACAACGGTGAGAGGCCCGCATATTGCAAAAAAAAAAAAAAAAAGAAAAGAAAAAGGAAAAATTACTAAGTATTTGCCTTTCCACTCTCATTCTCTCACAAGCAGAGTCAGAGCCAACAACACGTGTGATATTGTCAGTGAAATTTAGGCTTGTGTGGGATTTCCCTGGTGGTGCAGTGGTTAGGAATCCATCTGCCAGTGCAGGGGACACGGGTTTGAGCCCTGGTCCGGGAAGATCCCACGTGCCAAGGAGCAACTAAGCCCGTGCACCACAACTACTGAACCTGCACTCTAGAGCCCGAGAGCCACAATTACCGAGCCCACATGCCACAACTACTGAAGCCCGCGTGCCTAGAGCCTGTGATCTGTAACAAGAGAAGCCACCTCAATAAGAAGCCAGCACACCGCAAAGAAGAGTAGCTCCCGTTTACCGCAACTAGAGAAAGCCTGCGTGCAGCAACAAAGACCCAATGCAGCCAAAAATTAATTAATTAATTAAAAAAAGAAAGAAAAATATATGCTTGTATATTGTGTTTTTCAAATTCCTCAGTTTTAATTTCTAGCATGGTAAATATTGATAGATAGAACTTACATAAACAAAAGTTCTAGAGGTCCTCAACAATTTTTAAGGGTATATAAGGGGTTGGGGAGCTGTTCATGGCCCGCTACTTTACAGGATTGTTGTGAGAGGTAGAGATAATAGAGTTCCCATAATCATGCCTAGCAATAGTAAGTGCTTAATAATTGGTGATCGTATTTTTTAATCTAATTTTACAGAGAAGAAGAATATGTATTTGTAAGACTCCTTAGTCTAATATTGTTTTGAACTGAATCTGTCCTAAATCATCTTTCTGCTGTTTTCTAAGTCTGTATTTAGTTGTACTTCACATTTTCAGGACATTGCTGCCTTGAGGGGGTTGGTGTTGAGGAAGACAAGAATGTAACTTACTGTCCACATAATAGGAATAAAGAGTGGCCAGGCAGGACGCCCCTGTCTTTACCTTTATGTGTACGCTTGTGAAGTTGACTTCATAGTTAGCATTTGGTGGCTGGTTTACCTTGTGGCATTTGGTTTTATCTTTTCTTCCCTTTCACAGGTTCACCTTCTTCATCAAGAAAAAGTGGAACCAGCTGTCCCTCCAGCAAAAACAGCAGCCCTAACAGCAGCCCTCGGACTATAGGGAGGAGCAAAGGGAGGCTCCGGCTACCCCAGATCGGCAGCAAAAATAAACTGTCAAGTAGCAAGGAGAACTTGGATGCCAGCAAAGAGAACGGGGCTGGGCAAGTCTGTGAGCTGGCTGATGCCTTGAGCCGAGGGCACATGCTGGGGGGCAGCCAGCCTGAGCTGGTCACCCCACAGGACCATGAAGTAGCTTTGGCCAATGGCTTCCTTTATGAGCATGAGGCATGTGGCAACGGCTACAGCAATGGTCCGTTTGAAAACCACAGTGAAGAAGACAGCACCGATGACCAAAGAGAAGATATTCATGTTAAGCCTATTTATAATCTATATGCAATTTCGGTAAGTGGTTTGTTGTATGTATTCAGAATGATCTGCACTTTCAGTGGTTTGTTTGCTCATCTTCATTCATTCATTCATTCATCATTTTTTCAGGGCCTGCTTATTTGCTGGGCATTGAGCTTGGTGATAGACAAAGTTAGCAGTAGATATCTTAGCCTTTTGGGTAGAATCCAAGATGCTCACAGTGTAATAAAGGGAACAGTCGTGTAATCATTATAACCGGAATCACAGGTTCAAGTCATTCACAATTGTGTGTTTCTCAGGAATTTTTGCTTTCCAAAAATAATTACAAAAATAAAATGGAAAGATACAGAGTTTTAAAATTTTCAGTTTTCCTCTTTGATTTGTTTTTGGAAGAAGGAAAACACTTTTTTTTTCCCAAAAGTGTTTTCCTGTTTGGATCCTAGTACTGTGCCCTGTCAACTACTAATATACCTCCACTTTCTTCTCTCTTATAGTGCCATTCAGGAATTCTGGGCGGGGGCCATTACGTCACTTATGCCAAAAACCCAAACAGCAGGTGGTACTGTTACAATGACAGCAGCTGTAAGGTAAATATCCCCAATCTTTGAATAAAAGAAACAAATGTCAACAGAACTGGAGGACATTTGTTGAAATAATGGACTTTCTCCTGAATAGGAAATAGTTATTGCTATTAGAATCAGGAAAAAAGAAAAAAAAATTCCTCTAAGGGAGAATCAGTATATAGATGCCTTCAGTATAAAGGAATTAAAGTGATATGCAGGGAATTCCCTGGCACTCCAGTGGTTGGGACTCGAGGCCTTCACTGCAAGGGCCCGGGTTTGATCCCTGGTTGGGGTGGGGGGTTATGCAGAGCAGAGAATGAAAACAATGAAGAGGAAGAAGGTATTAGTTATAAGAAAAATTTCTTATCTTTTGAGCTAGTAGAATTTGATGGGTGGTTTTGTTTTATTTTTTGTCATTCTTTTGACTTGTCTATGGTATGAATATTTTCCCCAAAAAATCAAACATTGAAAATGATGGGTCTTATTTTTTAGGGGCAGGTATGAGACAGCCAAAATATTAAGCTGATTGGAAGCAATCAGGTTTAGTAATTAAAGAGAGTTGGTCCTCCCTTCCCTGGTGAGGATTAAGAGCCAGCATAGTGATGGCTTTTTAGTTAAAGCCTTTCTTGCTCCTTCAGGAACTTCACCCTGATGAAATTGACACCGACTCTGCCTACATTCTTTTCTATGAGCAGCAGGGGATAGACTATGCACAATTTCTGCCAAAGATTGACGGCAAAAAGATGGCAGACACAAGCAGCATGGACGAAGACTTTGAGTCTGATTACAAAAAGTACTGTGTGTTACAGTAAAGCTACCACTCTGGCTGCTAGACAGGCTGGTGATGAGGGAGATGACTCCCTGTAGCTGACATTGGGCAAAAGCGTCACTGAAAGGCAAGCTAAATGTGTAGTTATTTTATCCTGTGACCCTGAAGCACAAAATAAAAATCCTAATTAAAATAGCAGTTAACATAACAGTAGTAATAATTTTGTTTGGAAGTGTCTCACTCGAGCTCCCTGATAGAGAACTTTCAGGCAGAGCCCACCATTAGCCTGTAAACAAAAGGGTTTGGCACCAGCCACCTGGGACCAAATAAGAACTAAGTTGTGCTTGTCCAGATATGAACAAACATGTAGCAAGTATAGTTTACCAATAATCATAACAAAATACTAAGAATTTCCTTGGAGTCAAAGTAAAACAAAAAATTGTAGTGTTGTCTGGGGACGACATGACATGCTACCTCCTTTTTCCTGAAGTTTTATTCCACTGTAGTGACTGACACAATGGAGAAAGCAAGATCACAAAGGCGTGCGAAGGATTCTTACAGCATGGACACAGATTTTTCGATTTACTTTTTAAACCATTTTCCCACTCTTTCTATGTCTTTATTGCTTTTTGTTTTTGTTGTTGTGTTTGTGTTTGAGACACAACCAATCACTGGTGGTAGCAGAGGCATATATAAGTGGTAAGTCTGAAAGGGAGACTCTCTTAAGAGTTGCGTGCCTTCTACCCAGGGCCTTGGTTGGGAGATCCTGCAGGAAAAAAAAAAAAAAAAAAAAAAAAAAAAAAAAAAAAAAAAAAAAAAAAAAAAAAAAAAAAAAAAAAAAAAAAAAAAAGCATCCTGGGAGATCCAGCTAAAATAAAATAACCCTCCAGATAGAGGCGGCCTACTTTGAGGGTACTTGAAGAACCCTCAAAAATGTTTACCACCACTGCTGAGTGTGGGAGGGGAGTTGCCAAAATTTGCACCATCTTTACATGCACTGTTGCACAGAGAGCTTCTGAGAGGGAAAGTGGCAACAAAGTAGATGGTATTTTACAATTAGTGGTTGTTTGTTCTTTGTTTCTTTGTTTTGCACTTTAAAGAAAGAATACGTGCAAATGAACTTTTCAGAACTTGTTCATATTTGATGGCTATAAGGGCTATAAATTAACTTAATTGGGGCATTTTCCCTCATCATATTAAATTTAACAACAAAACACATCCCAAACATTGATAGTGTATAAGTATTTTTAATGAAATTGGTGGTTTTAGGAAGTAAACTTTTGTTTGCATGTCCATATACTTTTTTTATTTTGGTGTTTGTCCTTTTTATTTTTTATTTTTTTACATTTCACAGTAGTGGTCATCAAAAGTTATGTTTCTTTGCTCACTTCATTTTTTTCCTTCAATAATTCAAGACTGGAACAAAAGTATATAAATGTTATTTATTTCAGGCAACATTTTTTTCCTGTGTTGTTTTTAAATATGTATTCACTTTTTTTTCAGTCTTTTTTTATTCATCTGGACCCTGGAAGCTGATTCTCATTAATTGTCAGATTCCATTACCCTTCCTTCCTCATAGATAGTAGGTACCAATGTAATTAAGCATTTGTGTTCTGATATCTGAGGTCGGTTGCTATCCAGTTCTCCTCAGAGCATTTGGAAAGGTTGTCATAAATGGCCATCTAAGTTGAAACCCTATTCAGAAGAAGACTATAATTGCAGGTAGGAAGGAGTGGCCTAAATGGTATAATGTGATAAAGTCAGACAAAATGCAGACTTTATAGTTTCATGATTTTCAGTGTATAAAATCTGTCCATTCCTAACTGGACAAGTCCCACGAAAAAGTGGAAGATTTTAAAGAATTTCCTTACAGATGTTTTATTTAAGCAGGTAGCACAATCTACTAATGTTGTTTGATCTGTGTTGGTTATATTGGTTGTAATTAATTTTTTTAATTCATGATTAGCAGAAAATTTATTAAATTAACTAACTACATTCACTTTGTAAATTACTGTATAAAACTTGTTGACAATGCACTGACTTTAGAAAGATGTTAATGTACATAAATAGAGTGTAAATAAAATAGTGTTGATGTACTGAAATATGAACTGTATAAAAAAGTATTGGTAATTGTATATGGAGTGTAACTGTTTATCTGTAACTATTATCCAAACAAATTAAATACTGTGGATGCATCTATGTGCTGTTTTTCCTCTACACAAAAAGTAAACACAAAAAAGTCAAATTCTTTAGCCTTCCTCTCTGTGACCCTGTTTTAATTCTCCTAACTCGAATAATACCTACCTGACTTACAGAGTTGGAGGTTCTATCTCTGAGGGAATGCAAGCTGTGTTGAAGGTAGAACAAGATACCTGCAGTGACCGGATAAATTGATTTAAATTTGGCCCACATCCCTGTTAGGAAATTGCTTCGAAAGCATTGAAGGGGTTGGGGAGAAGGGTGGCTTGCTGGTTTGGAACTAAGAATTGATGAAGGACATTTCGCAATAGTTTTCTTGCAGATTAAGAGAGAAGGTGAAGAAGAGGCTGACTTCTTATTTGTAAAATGCCTTGAGATGATCCTGGATTTCTAGGGGGCTCTGAGAAACCAGGGATATCCCTGGTTGTCGTTCTGGGAGATCTCCAGGGAGGCAGTTGACAGTGTTGAGAAGAGTCGAAGATTTAGAGTTGTGGGTCCTTCACATTCAATCTTTAGAGTTGTGGGTCCTTCACATTCAATCCTATCTATTTACCTTTAAAATCAGAATACCTACCTCTGGGGCTTATATTAAGTAAATGAAGTATGTAAATGCCTGACACAGTTTCTTGGGAAGTGCTCAATGAATGTGAAATCCTAGCCCCATGAGATCAGTCCTATACAAGGAGGTTTTTGTATTCCCTTGCCGTACTGACACTAAAAGAATTTGATAGCTCTCTGCTCACATTCTCCAAAAACCAGGAATACACATTAAAAATGTATAGAATGAAACACGTTGAATCAGCAGCAATAGTAGCTTGTTTAAGGAAACAAACAAACAGGAAAAGGATCAGAAAAGTCATCAGAAATGAAGCACGGCTTCCAAAGTGCAGTCTGTGTCTCTGGCTTTTTAAAAGACAGCCTTGAATATCTTCATCTTTGTATCTCAAACATTGTTCCTGGCACATGGAAGGTAAATAATATATAAAATAAATAATATTTTAATGAAAAAAAAAAGACAGTCTTGAAAAGAAACAACATATAGAGATGGGCAGGCATTTTATTTCTGGTTCCTGAATGGCCCTGTAAATTGAGAGCGGTCATCAGCCTCTCTGGCTAAGGCAGTTCAACATGGAATCTCCCTTCCACTTGGTGGCATTGCTCACTTATGGGTTCTTTTCTTAGTTGTAGATACCATTGAATTGGAGCAAGTAGAGGAATTGCCACATTTTCTCCAACTATTTTAAAGGTTGACTATAGAATTTTACTAGGCTAGAGCCAGAATGTGCAGCTTAGGGAACAGAGATCCCAGCTTTCCTTGATGATGTACCGCCAGGTTTCTTAGTATTGAAATCAGAAGGTCAGAAACACACCTACGTCTATGATCAGAGACCCCTACGTGATAGAGCAATAAAAAGAGGCTGCCTTTAGGTTTGCCAAACTTCCTGCCAGTGGAAAGCAACGTAGTAGATAAGAGTGCAGGAGTTGCAAACTCAGAGACCTATAGGGACCAGGTTGGGAACAGAGTGTAAGAGAAGCTGGTCCAGCTGTGGATGAGAATGGGGAATAGTGGTGAGTTGTAGGGCACACATCCTTCTAAAGGCTCCATTTGTTGCCATGC